GTAAGTGAGTAATGCGAAAGGAAGGCACGGATTCCGCTCTAGAGATAGCTGCATCTTTAGACAGGATGCTAAAGGGCTCACCCCATAATAGTATTTGTAACACATCATGAAGTCCTGGGTTCACACCTGCTTGCTGACATTTGGATTTTAAAACTTAACGAGCCTAAAAAAAACCTCAGTGCTCCACACTCCAAAAGCTTTCTTTAGAACTGGGTTTAAAAGGCGGGTCAAAAGAGATCACACAATAGCCTGTTATTATGAAAAGTTGCCTACTTCATCTCATTGCAGTAGCCAAGGCGGCCTTGAAAAGCCACCAAAAACAAAGTTCCATGGAGAGTGAGACTTGCTAAATTATTCCATCAAAAGTGAAAGTAGGTATGGCACGTGTGTTCCTGAGCAGGGTAAGAAGTGCAGAGAATAAACTAGCCTAAGGTTTTACGGCGTTAAAAAAAAGTAGTTCACATTACACAAAACACATAGTAATTACACCGGAAGTGGTATAAACAATCGACATAAAATAGCATGATAGAACCCGAAAGCGCAATTATAGCCTACCAAAGATTCTCTACCTGGCTATACAGCATGCTTGTTGCAACACCGCAAACTGTAGGCCTACTATTTGCCAGGGGAAAAACGCATTTTAAGTTTTGAAGGGACTTATCTTAGTCAGTGTGACAACGGAAAAATATTTAAGCTAGCGTTGTTAGACTGTTATCGGTGATATAACAATAGCTAAGAAAAGAAAGAAAATGCACTTAAGAGGGCTTTTGTTAAGGAAATTCACTCTTACATTCTGCTGAAGCAATTTTGATTTACTTGGTATCTACGGTAAAACAATTAAAAACGTCCCAATTCCGGATTGTTATACTCACACGAGTGTCTTGTTTCCAGTGGCAATACAGGCGATCCTGATCTGCTCATTGACGATGAAGTACATGCGACGAGGTGATCGCTTTCTCACACTAGGGGGCAGGCAGTCTGTGGGGGGGGGGCAGAAGTACACAAGGTTATTACATTATAATTTAATCTATAGGCTAATTATAAATAATGTGTGGTCGTCAAGTCCGTGTTCTTATACTGTTGATGATATCTTTCTTGGGGCTACTGTTGATGTTTCGCTGTTACCGTAGCCGCAGTTGATGTGTTGTTGTTGTTGTTGTTGTTGTTGTTATTCTTGTTGTCGTTGGTGATGTTGTTGTTGTTGCCGTGTTTGCTGAACTTGTTGTTGCTACTGCCATTTTTTGATATTTATTGTGGTGGCTGTTGTTGTTGTTGTTGTTGCGGAAGTAGTGGTGATGGTTGTGGTTGAGGTAGTGTTGAGCTGCAGTTTATGGACAGTCAGCATTACAGCGGCCATGTCCACAACAAACCTGGAAAACAGTGGCACGACTGGACAGAAAGTAATAGAAAGAACAGACACACTAAAGAGCACACTTACTCCCTGCTTAAAGGCACAAACAATATCACATTCTAAACATTCAAAATAACAACTACAATAACAACAACGTTATTATAACGGTCGATAAATCTAATCGTGTAATGTTGTGTCACAGCACAGTAAGAGACGGATGGTATGCTTGAGTTTAACACATATTTCAACAGAGTACCGGTATTTAGGATGCAGGAATTAAAGCCCGAACACCTAGGCTCTTTCTGAGCGTGCTATTAGGATCAAGGTATGAAACCTAAAAAAAAAGAAGTACTGTTCATTGTTTTTTTCCTTTAAAAAGTAATCCGTACACGCAAAGGCAAAAAACGCAATCAGTCGAAAAGCGCCGGGTTCTTTTTAATGGCAATTTCTGCCCTGGCAGTTCTGGGCTCAGAGAGAACGCTATTTTGGGGCATACACACAGTTAGTTGAGTCAGACAGATGGACGGAACCAAACCACAATTCTAGGGAAAGAAAAAAGGTGTGCTAATGTGAGAGTGCGAGTGTGTGTGTGTGTGTGTGTGTGTGTGTGTGTGTGTGTGTATGTGTGTGTGTGTGTGTGTGTGTGTGTGTGTGTGTC